AGTTACCGACTCGAGCGTTTTGCCATACTGCTAGGAAAAAAGGGACTTTGCAAGTCACTACGTTCTTCAAATTCCCGAGTTCATGTGACAGAAAAAGGAAAGGGCTGCAGGCAAGTACCGGCTGGCGTTCAAACGTGCGAAATTATGCATCTGGGTGATAAAGGGAGAGAAGCAACGGTTTTGGTCAGAACTATTAGAGAGGAATCGTACCCAACCCGTCACGAAACGATTAAGCTACGATAGTCATCCTTTAGGCACTCTTCACTACAAGGAGACAGTTGCAAGCTTCCCAGATATCTCTCATGGTGGTATCAGAAAAAGGTGGTGCCTGCTTAACCTTCTGAATGAGTTAGGTTGTACAAAGATTTTTAGCAAGAACCTAAAATCGATGGCCTCTCCATTTCGCTTTTCACCGGAATCTTCTGCTTCTCACTGGTCTGACAGTGAAGGCACTATGTATTGACGTACTATTGAGATTGAGCTATTTTCTGGATGGATAAGTTTGATGAATATTGATAAGAGTACGATTCTCTGAAAATGACACAGAATAAACAAAATAGAAAACAATGATTTGTTCACATACGAGTGTGGAATTTTTTGAAACATACGGTGATAAGTGGGATTTTCGCAAAAAAGGTAGCTTTTTGAAAGCGTAAGTATAATTATTCGAGTCTGCCCCTCCGCTGAGACGGTCCAATTGGGTCATAGTTTCCATGTGTTTCATCACTCAAGAGCGAGATATCACATCGAAATCGGGTCGTTTCCAGAAGACATGATCTCCGATCGCATTTCGCTGCAATCAACCTATTCTTACTGAGCTTGTTTCTTTTCCTGACACGAAATACTATGATACCTGTCCTCAACTTATATTCGTTGATGTGCACAAATACGTTGGGCTTCACTGAAACTCCCATCAGATTTTCATTTCGAATCTTTTTCATTAAATGGAATTGAATGACTTCTAATAGGTTTCCCAGACTGGACAGAATTGATAGGCTTGTCCGACGTACCGCGCATCGAATATATTAATAGTTCTTCTCTTCACGTTTGTGTTTTCAAGAGAGATTCACATCAATCATTCCTAGGCAAATTCTAGGCATTTCTAGGCAAATCCCAACCCGACTCAAGAGGTATTTGGATAGTCTGTTAATTTCTAGGAATAATGACGAGGGAGTGCTAGGAACAGCTAACTGCGAGGCCACAATAACTCGAGGCAGAATGAAAACTTCAAAGTGATCAGGATACGCNCCTAACAAGGAGATCCACTCTTCTCTGAAGTACATTCTCGGTGAAAAACGAACTCAACCAGCAGATGTATTCTGATGATGGATGAGAGGAGCCATGCCAGTTTGATGGAATTATGTTCCCGGCTTTCGAATACACTTCGACCATAACTTTCATTTGCACAACGCTGAAACGATCAATGCAAAACTTTGATACTCATGCCCCGCTTCAAAACAGAATCCCGAATCGTACGTCTCAAAGGCAAATTCGTACTTTTTCTTAGCGGCTTATAACGATTGCTCTACAATATATGTATCAACTCAATTGATTCATTAGCAGCGCAATTCAGCAACAACTACAATTTCAGGCCATTTTCGGTTATCTTGCATGGTCCTGCAACAATTATTGTGCTTGTCTACTGCATGTCTAGTATTTTGCTATGAACAACTTCCTGGATTCTCGAAGAATATCGACCGACGACTGTACTACAATGGAGAAAAGATAAAATTCGGCATGGGAGCAGTGAAGGATTCGTACGGAGCCGCTCCCTATTTGCAGGTTGGTATTAGGCCTTTCGGAAAGAATCTACTAAAAGTTGTCATAGGCCAGCCTTTGTGGAATTTTCAAAAATTTCTATAAGATTGTTATGTGTTAGAACTACCCAATGTATGTGCATAAAATATAAGGTTATCTCCTTAATTGACCTTAGACTAGTGAACCCCCTATCCATCTTCGACAAGAGCCTCTATGATGTCCACCGACCGACATTATGTTATGCGGGCATGCGTTAGTAATGCACCTAAAAGCATTACAACGAAATTTTTGTGAAATTTGGGGAATGATGGTTTACGGAATATCGCTCATGCTAATGAATATCACTGACCCAAGCTCCTTTCAACGTACTCCCGAAAAACCCTGAGTGTTCTCTGGAAAGAGTAAGGCGGGTGACAGGTTCTGTGCTAATGCATGGGAGAAAACGCGATCTGCCATCCAACTACAGGGCCTGCTCAATCAACAGTTTTCCATGATTTCCCATCGCATTCTTTTTCATATCTCCCACCACTAATAAAGTTCTATATATGTCGACATTAAAACAAATTTATTGAATCAGGGGGGATGATTCAAAGAAGTAGTTCAACTTCCGCTTCGCACTTGCCCTAGACGGAAGTCAAACTAGACAATAATCTCCCTTCGTGTTCATCAGTAGGGTAAGGGAGAGCAAAAGAATATAACTCGTTATCTACTTATATATAATCCACAAGTTTGGTGTGTCTGTTTGCTTGTATGTTTGTCTGTCTGTCACGCGATCCGGTTTTTCTTGAGAAAACACCTCTAGAGGTCGGGACAAGTTTGGGATGGGTGGGGCCTGAGACAGGATTAATAGAGAACATACTAGCTCTGCGGAGCTCCGCCCACGGAGAGGGGGGCAAGTGCCGGAATGGGCGGTGCCAAGAGCTAAACATCTTATTTTGGCCTCAAGAAAGTCCAGACATCGGAAAAAAAATGAGCAAAGGTGAGGATTGGGCAAAAAAGAAGACGGAGAAGACCTGCGTGCTGTGGGCGGAGATTTATCGAAATGGGCGGTACTTTTCAGATATACTCATAACTCGACTCAATTAGGGCAAAGAGGCCAGGGAAAAAATAAAAAGAATGAGCAGGGCCTTATGCGTGCTGGGTACGCGTAAGCTTAGCGAAGTCCCGCCCACGATGGGCGGGGCGTGCGTTGAGATGAAAGCCACTTTTCAAAAATGAATGCAACTTTGCCTGGAAACGTTCTAGAATGCGGGAAAAATGATTAGAGGTAAGGGAACAAATGTGGCCAAATCCCCGGATTGGGCGGGATTGGCACCAAAGAGGGCGGAGCCTAGGTCGAAAATTCATAACTCTGTTCAAAAACGTTCTGGGATGCGGCAAAAAGGCGTTAAGGTGTTAAAGAACAAATGTGGTCAAATCCCAGAAGTGGGCGGGGTTGGCACCAAAGTGGACGGAGCTCAGATCAAGAATTTATACAGCTGTCCTTCTTGCTAACCCTGACCAAACAGGTCTACAACTAGTGGATACCGCTAAGCTCTTTCAAAAATTAGGCTAAAAATTTTCTAAAAGTTAGCATCCATGGTTCCAAACACAGTAGTCCTTTCGACACAAGAGCAAATGTACTACATTAACTCAGACCTCATAAAACAAAGTCTACAATAACCCTGGCCACACAGGTGCATACTCCGTAAAGACGTGTAAATCCCACAACTACCCGAAGGGACTGTCCTTTCAAAGTTAGTGTTCATGCCCACACACAGCCCGAACTACACAGAGTTTCTTCGACTACATGAACTGCTGAGGTATTTGATTCGGATACATCGGAGTACTCTTCATGGTCACACACAGCCCCATTTCACATTCCAAAAAAAGTGATGGCTGCTACAGAAGTGTCAAGGAAGAGACTCAGATGATAAAGGTCTATAATGAAAATCAAAAGCTCATGTACTCCGTTCTTCATGGCTAGAGCTCCCAGCGCACGCAATAGTGTGCGTAGCCGCCTGGTATATAATAAGTTGAAATTGAAGAATGCATAAGGAATATAANGGGGTGTAAGACAAAAAGGAGGTTGTAATAAGAAAAGCACTAGACTGCATTTTTTTGTAATTTCAGTGTATTTTAATTTATTGTGTTATTAACTTAACATGATATCTTAAGACGTACTTATAGAATATAAACTTACTTCTAGCTAAGCATTTTATAAGGCCTGTAATAAAATTATCCTTACTGTGACCCATTTGACATGTTCGATATCCTCTATACTTTAATCTATCTAGAAAATCATTTTTATATGTACAAGTTCTAGCAATCCTCAAAATTTTTGAGTATATGGTACTAAATTTAATACCTCTGGAAACGTTAGTAGTGTAATGTGTGAGACGTTTGACGAGAAAGCCAAAACTATCTGTCTTTTTATACATTTCAGTAAATATTTTACCTTCCTCTATAAGTATTTGTATAAGTACATTCAGAGTCAGCCAGTCTCTTTGGAGAGATTTTTTCCAGCGCAATAAAAGTCTGAACTAGACCAATCACAACTTGACTCCATATGTTAAGAACTGTGGGCTCTGCAGCCCAAGTAAATCATTGTTTCCCTTATCGGTAGAGGTCTGCGTTGTCAATTCTGATGTTCCAGCGGCCGAGGCTAACTCAAAGGAGAGGTTCCTGTAAAATGAGGCTGACTAACTGACTGACGAACTGACTCTATATTTTTCGTCCTTCTGGAATCCGAGTTGATCTGAAAGTGCTCCTGCATTTCTTTTCTGCAACATGATAAATGAGGGTGTCGGCCACATGCTGCTTTATTGCGTCGATGATCCATAAATGCTTAGTGCTTTCTGTCTGAACCTTTCACTTTCAGACGGATTTGGTAGCAATTAACCGGCTTGAAATGGATAGTTTGGTCGATTTACCTGGAAATTGATCCATAATTCAATTCTCAGGCCATGCGAGGGGTAATGTTCTACTTGACTCTATATTTATCGTCCTTCTTAGAATCAAGTGAGGGAAAATTAGTCTGTGAAGTCGTCATCTTGACTGTCCTTTGATCATGGATTCTCCCTAATCACTTATGACCTATTCCTTAATTTGGCCACTTTTGTAGATAAGATCTCACACTAACAAACACGACTGAGCTAATGCCAATGTTTACTTGACCATATCGAGTAGGCCTCTGAGAAAAAAGTCAGACCGTTTTCAAGTGTTTCAATATTGTCGTAGATTATAGTGTCGTATTTCACACCAACAAAAATACTTTCAAAAANAAAAATATCGAACAGTTTTGGGCAGTTTAAAAATCATGATTCGATTCTTGTTATTCAACAAAATATTCAACAGATACCAATGGGCGATGGGAGCCAACTTCGAGTTCCGAAGGCGTTCTATCATTATTCGGAACGTGATATGGGTGCCGAATCTGGATGGGAAATTCCCAGTAATGGACGTCTACTAGATCTCAATACGCTGGTGAAGAACAACAGACGAGAGATCAACGGTGTCTACCTACCTTTTCCTAACATGGAACCCATTAATCTCCATTTCATAACCCAGAGGTACAATACTTTTTCTTAACTTGCTGCTCAACGACCGAGACTAAACAATCACAGGACATTCGAGAAAGGAATTGACACCGCGGCACACGACCAATCGCCAGACGGCACCCTTCAAGCAGCCAAAAGGTAAGAATGTTAAGAGAATAGCTAGCTCAGAAGTATACTGAATCTTTGTATAGGCGACACAGGTAATACGAGCACAAGGTATTTGGACTATATCGGGTCGTAGTAGAAAGCATTCTCTCAAAGGAAGACTGACTAGTAACTGAGGAGACGGGCGGTCGAATCGTTTTGTGTGGTCAATTCTCCGCACGCGACAGTCGCGCACTAGATGCCTCATTATTGCAGTTCTAGCCTTCTTCATACAGCTCAATCTACATAAGGTTATTATTTTGGCATGATTCTACTGTTACTAGTTTTGATCCTGTATTCCTTACTCGCTGCGCTGCTTCTGCTTCATTCTGCAACATTCCTTCGTGCGCGACGCCGCTCTTGCCGCGAGGCGATCATTTCGATTCATCTGCACCACGCCCCTGGCAGCTGGGTTAGGCTTTCTAAACCTCCCGGTATTTACTCAAATCTTCCTACAAGGGCTATAGAAGTGCGTTACTACGGCATATTCTTTTCTTTCCCGGCTACATGTGGATCGAAGATGGCTTGCAGGGTCTCCAAACTCTGATCTACCTAATGTTTCTTGAATTTCTCATCCCTTTCCCTCCAGTTCAACTAATTGTAAGTTCAGTCTGAATTGAATGCATGGAGCAGTATGAGAGGACTAATCGATTCATCTGTTCCATCTTTTCATCCTTTACTACATTAGGAGTAGAGAGGCTTAACGTTGCACTCAAGGAAGTCCCTCTCCTGGTTCTCTATGCACGTACTTGTATAGTATCAAGCTCCTAAATATGCCGTAAATATCTGTAATTCCATGAGTTTCAGAATTTGCATGCTGGGCTCGGAAAGTGATTGTGAACGAGCACTGTTGCAATACCACCGAACAAAGGCTTACCATATTCAACAACAAATGAAGCCTTTACACCAACAACTGATTAACCTGGTTAGGCTTTCTCATGTATCGCTTAAATTGACCTTCAAATTATTACGAAATACCCCAGTTTTCAAGGGCTGACATCAGAGTGAGTCTATTTGCAGGGTGATCTGACTTCGTACTCTACCCTGCGAGATCGAGAAGGAGGTGGAATGGGAGTTGTAGTCGGCGTTCCTGGATACGATCCGCTCTATGTTGGGGGTGCTCTTGATCAGAACAAAGATAGCAATGTCGGCTTTCAACTCTCACCTCCACAGTGACGCCATAACGCTCGAGGACAGTTGTAAAAATATAATAACATTCATTCCATATACGTAATAATAATTCAATTAATAAACCTGATGATTGCCTTAAGAAAATAAGCAGAGTCAAGGTACAACAGAGTGCAGAATATGGCACGAAACTATGAATGAAAGAGTTAGTCAAGGCGCAATGAATTTCCTAAGGAGCATGATGAGGCTATTACAATTGAGCACGTTGCTTCTGTGGCAGTATTCCACTAGGTTCGTCAGCATTACTTGACCTATGAAGCTGCTCCAATGAGGCCAGAAATCGCTGAACGACGGTCACATACTCGAATGGGTACTTCTTGAAATGTTCCACATGATCTGAGTCAGTCAACCGTAGAACATCCACGTTCCTTCCGGTTTTAGCCATATGGTCATGGAAATCGCTGATTGTCCTCAAAGATAAAATTAATGGGAAAAAGTAGAACATACAAACTTTTGAAATGTGGAGTCAAGGTCTTTGGCGTTTATCAATCCCGTCATTGGGATGCACCTTTGCATTCGACCTCCATTCATAATTGAAGAGGCGTTCTGAATGCGTATAGGCCTATACATTGGCTTGTGGTAGCCAGCCGATGTACAGTTCAGTGCCTCCACCCTCCCAGAAGAACCTGTTGCCGAATAACCCTCACTAGAGGGATCGGAGGTGATCGGTCTAAGTAGGCATCGAGCAGGGATTCAAACCCCATGCATGTGTGATAGCGCCCTTTTGCAACTATACATCCGCTCAATAGCCATATACCTAATAAGAAGAGCTATTGTTGCTTATTATTATTTCTTAGACCTACTTTCTACTGGTAAGAAATCTCCAAACAGAAAACTAGTTCCCATAGAGTAGAGGTCACTCTCGTCTTCGACTAAACTATCCCTAGTACTGTTTGTATAGTGGTTGTGATGCTTGATTCTCACGTCACAATCGCCCTTTGAGAAGCGGCTATCGAAAACAAGAGAGCCGCTCACATCTTACGGCTTCACTTCGAGGTACTTCAGTCAGTCCCTATATGGCACTGCTCGGTGTTGGAGAGTAGAGAAATCGTAACAGTGCGCGATTTTGTTAGCGAATTTCAAAATTCATGAGTTAATGGTTACCATTTAGCTCAGGATGGATAGATCCGTATCAGGAAAACATCTCTGCCTTGATGCTCAGAAAGCAACGCTAGAAGATAACAAGTAACCTTTAATCGCATGTTAGTCTGAGAAAATCAGGAAAGAGGCAAATAGAAAAGTGGTTCGCATTTAGTCGAAAAAATAGGAGTAATTCGTTCACCCACCACGGACCACACAACACGCCAGCAGTGAATCTTCCCGTAGGTGCTTTGGTAGCATCAAGAGAGGGAATTCGATAACAAAACCCACAGGCCAGGTTTTGCCGATTACCTGCTCAAAATAGATGGATAGGCTGAAGAGAAGCTTCCAAAGGTCTATGGATTAATCAATTCCGTTTTTGAGATACACCCCGAATTCGGCTTTCATCCAAAATCGTTTTGAAAGCAAGTGTGGTCTATGAAATGAATTGTCCAGCAGACGTATACATCAGTGCTCATTTATACTTACACCGAGTCTGGTAGCAAGTGACCGACTCAGGAGAACGAAATGCTTGGTTGGCCTTAACAGATTTAGGTCGGAGATTGGATCCCTGCCCATGCATGGAGTAGTGTGCGCATTTGCCTCGTAAAGACGAATAGCAGTGAAAAAAAAGGAAATTAAAATAGAGAAGGTTAAAATCCTCTCAATACCACCACTGCAGTCAAAAAGCTTATTGACAGGCTTTCTGGAGACAAGTAACAATGCTTGTACTGCATCATTCAGTCAAGACCAACTTGCCCATAATGGTAGAAATTTTGTACAACCGCTTTTTTCCAGTACCATATCCTCCCACAGTATTGAAGCAGAATGCTATGAAGAAGATTCTGTTCATGACTCACTGCATTTATTTATCTTCCCAGTCACTTCACTTCTGACTTCAACAAACTAATATTGTAAACTAAGCCTTAGTTCTAGAAGCAATACGGCAGAAATAAAAACTTAATGCTTTTTGACAAGAAAAGCGAGTGAAACACTCGGCGATTCCTGACGCATAACCTCTGACAGTGAACGGACGTAAGCAAACCAGCCCGTTTGGCCCTTCTGCCGGATGCATTTGCTTGTTCTACGATTCTGTCTAAGGGTATCATAGTCCCACTCAGGGAAAGTACGTGGGAAGTCGCTTCTAAATCCCAGGTGGAAGTTCTTTATACAGTTACATAGGGCTGCCGTGCAACTATCACAGTATGGCGTGCTTTAACAGTTGATTCATATATTCGCCCAATGTCTTCCACATATTAAAAAATGTCTTCCACCTGGGATTTAGAAGCGACTCCCCTCGCATTTTCCCTAAGGAGGATTATTAGGCCAAACGGGCTGGTTTGCTTACTTCCAGTGAACGTAAGCAAAATGACAGATGCAAATGAGGAATAAGCCTACCTCGGTGGACAAATTGAGTCCCTATCGGAATAAATAAATGATAGATTCTGAGGCATTGAGGGATGGTCGCGAATGAAGTGATAAGGAGTGAAGTTGGACAGATCCATACCCATCAGAGAGCGTGCGAACTGCTGAAATAGCCCATTGAATAGATCTTGTGATAGACTTCGTCAATCGAAAAACGACTAACTTCCGCAACAAACATGCGAACCCCGATTGCAAAGTAGACCCTCCACATTAAAAACTGGATGCGAGTGGCAATTGACGCTTTTTTGAGAGCTGTCCTTGATATGGCGTCTGCCAGGTGGGTGAAACTCTTCGGACTGGATGAGTCGAAAACTACAGGGCAGCTGCAAGGAGGTGGAATACTTCAGAAAAAAAGTGCCAGTTGCAAATGGACTCTACCTGTCGAAAACAATCCCGTCGCTTCTTTCAAGCACATTCAGTTCTGGATATTGCAGCATCAAAGCGCAAAGCGTATAGACGCCATTCATACTGAACAAATGTAAGGCTAGACGTGTGTCATTTTGTCCCAGGACTGACCGCAAATTGTCGACGACACCGGAAACATCTCTCGAGTACTTAAGAAAGAATACCACATGAACAAAGATGGAAACTGTAAACGCCCTCAGGGGAAATATCTCCTACTTTAAGATCCCGTCGATGACCTGTGAATGGACTAGTAAACCGCAATGTTGTAAACCTGAACCACTTAGCTCAAGTTAGACTATATACGTATGTAAACTTGAGCAACTTACCCTTCTTTTTCATAAATCTTGGAATATTTCGAAAGGTGTTCATCTCGTGCTGCTGCCCAACCTAGCAGAAGTACAGTCGTTTTTTCTGACGAGAATGGAAAATTAGAGGGGCAAGTCGGCTTGACAAGCACGCTTACAGCCTTCTGTAAATTCTGCATAATCTGAAAGTTTTATAGGAATTTGAATGCCAGCTTATCTACGAATTTCTTCCTATGGGTTAAAGTGTTGAAAAAAGATGTGAGCGAAGTCTACCAATAAGGAAGTGGCAAATAAAGTTCAGCAAGGAACAGAGTCACAGTGAAACGTGGAGCATAGGCTATCAGCCACTAATGTTCCCTCCCACATTATCGGCCATCAGGTGCCAGCCTTATCTAAAGGAGGAAACCACGAAATTGAACAGATACTAGCGTTGTTCGTCATTGTTTCATACGAATATGAAAGCGGGTCCCTTTAACGCCACCTACTGGCTGGCTGCTTTCAAAGTTCACCGACCGACTGAGTGGCGCTGGCCGCGTGAAGACAACGCTGGTCAGGTTCCGTTGAAGGCAGCGTGACTCTTTGGGGCACGTCATTGGTGTCCTGCGTTGTCAACACGTAGCCAGCGGAGCCGCAATCGGTCGGTCTGTCGGTCATTGAACCTAAAGTAGGCACTGGCTCAATGCGTGGTGCTTTCTAGTGCCTGTATAAATGCTGTTCATTTAGAATTCGGGAGATGGACACAAGCCAAACGCTATTTACTCAAGGGAGAGGAGAAAGCGACTAAGTTGGTGACTGGTGAAAAGTTCTTTTAGGTCAAGTCAAAAAACCGAGATATCAAAGGGATGGTGGGGAAATAGAAGATACCGGCCCATCGATATTGTTTTGATTGTGAGAGCTGTGTAGGTGCAGCTAATTACTTTAGTGCCCAATGTCGTCCCACTGTTGCAGAAGGAAATATTCAGAAACTGAGAAGAATTACGGACGGCAAATAGACACAACGTTCTCAAACGTCGTGAAAGGGTAACTGAAGCTCAAATTCATCGCGACCTGAACCAACATTTGCACAACGTTCTCTAATCGTGAGCTCCGGAAATTAGTACTAATGTTTAAGAAAAGAGGAATGAATACATGAAAAGATCGAGGTGGTGCCCACATTGTTCACCCCGCAAAGGTACGGACCGTACGGAATCTTCAGGAGGCTTCTATAGAAGTAGTAAGACAGGACATCACTTTTTTGTATGCGTGTAATATATCAGTTCTCGTCATATAGCATTCGGCTGACCAAATCGAGGATCACCGTCGACATTTTCGTTCCAGTCTGGAAAACGTTGAAACAGAGCGCCGAGGAGCGCTAAGAACGAAGAGGTCATATGCTTGACACAAGTTTCAAAGGCCGGCTTCTAACTAGTAGAAATGTATTAATTGTGTATGGTGGAGAGATTGGTCATAATGGGGTAAGCTTGCAAGGAAGAAGTGGCCGGATTTGTTATACATATACTTGTGAGTTGTGTCTGTACATCGAAATCTCATTGGGTCCTTTCAGGGTTCAACGAAGTGCGTTGTTACATCCGCCGTTATTGCTGGCCACGCGGTGACAGCGCAGGACAGGTTGTGTTCAGAGCCGCGTAAGCGGTATCGATCGGTGTCCAGTGCTGTCGACGTGTGGCCAACAATGCCACCGCTCCGTCGGTCGTATCAATGCACTTCGTTGAACTCTGAAAGCATACAATGAAGCTTTCAGAGTCCTGAAAAAATCGAAGCAATACGAAAGGATCCCTCGTGACGCCAAACGAGTTCAGCCGTTTGCGATAAAAGTACAGACTTCTCAATGAAATTTCTGAGTAGGAGCAATGACATGATTCGTGCCCCCTAGGCAAGGCGGGCTTAATGGGCTGCACTGGTTCGTGTCATAGATTGGAGATTTTTGAGCCTGTTTGAGGAAACCGCAGACTAACGATAAGTGACATAAGGTACAAGTGATATATGTGGGAAGGTGCCGAACTTTGCATGAAAATCAAATTCACGAATAATAACGATACAGCGCATGTTTTTTGCTGTTCTGAACTGCATTAATATCGGAAAACAAACCTGGTGAATTATTATTAACCTGGTGAAGACGCACAAAATTCCGGCGGAAACAGACACAATGACTCTCCCATGGACTGAAATCAAGACGAGACCGATTATCTCGTCTTGTGGTGGACCAGCAGACGGATTAAGCTGGCTCTTAGTTCGTTTGCTATCGCCACTTCTGCGTTACGTGGGAGCACACATTGTGAATGTTGAAGAATTCATTTCGGCGCTTCACCAATGTCCAGTACCGACGGGAGCCTTCTACGCGAGCTTTGATGTAGTATCCTTATACACGAATGTGAATAACGCGGGAGCAGTGCAAGCTGTCTTATCTCTCATCGAGGATAACGAAGACGATATCACGATGATGGGATTTTCCCGCAGCGAAGTTAAGGATCTCATCGAAGCAGCGCTGGAATGCAACATTTTCTGCTTCGACAATAAATTTTACAAGCAGAAACGAGGCCTTGCCATGGGTAATCGCGTAGCACCAGTGTTAGCGGTCATCTTCTTGGACCACATCGAGAAGTCATCATTAACTAGTGGAATTTTATTCTACAAACGTTATATTGATGACGTATTCGTTATCGGAACGACGGAAGAAGACCTTGTGGAAACATTGAAGAGACTTAACTCTCACGATGCTAACATAACCTTCACAAGGGAAGATCCGGGAAGGGATGGATTCCTTCCATTCCTCAATGCGAAGACACGAATTAGTGAAGGTCATAAGGAACACCTATGGTATAGAAAAAGTGCCTCGTCTAACATCTTGTTGCATTCTAGAAGCGCACATCCCATTTATATGAAGGCAAACGTCGTGCGGAATCTTTTGAAAANCAATACAAGGACCTGGGTCCCGCACAGGACGGCTGATGGTGTAAGCCTCGTTGTGCCTTTTGTCAACGACAAAATGGCACGTGAGGTTAACCGCGTCGTCAAAAACTCCCAGCTTCCCATTCGACTTGTTTTCCGACCTCCCCCTACACTGAAGGATCTCCTAACATCATCCCGAATCTACGAAAGACGGTGCCGCGAACAGTCTTGTCGATACTGCACTTGTGAGAAGATCTGTGAACTCCAGGGCACTGTCTATTTGATTCAATGTGGAGGATGTGGAGAAAAGTACGTGGGGGAGACCGCGAGACCACTGAAGATTCGTCTGGATGAACATAGAAGAGCGTTGGCCAATCCCGCTGCCTATCCACACAGCAGTTTTTCCAGGCACCGTACACTTAGGCATGAGAAAGAAAACGCTCCATCCTTTGATGTGAGGGTTTTGCACAGATATTTGGTACGGCCACTGGAAAGGAAAATCATGGAGGCACGGGAAATATACCGCATCAAGCCGGAAATCAATGCGAAAGAGGAGTTGCATGACCTACTCAGACTGATCACGTGATAACACATAGTCACCTCAGAACAAGAGCGGCTTCCATTTTCCCTTCAAGATCCCCGCCGACAGGTCCATTCCCCCTTTCCCCAATATTTCCGGTTGACTTGGTATGATTCGATGTGTTTTGTATTGTAACTAATAGTAACTCATTGTATGCAGCAATATATTGTAAGTAATTAAGGTCTGACGAAGGCATTATATGCCGAAAGCTCACCAATAAAAGTGAAGAGCATAGAGCTTCGAAAAGTACACAAAACGACAAGATTTGGGTTGTTAAATGCTGGACACCTGGCCCGAAGTAAGCATTCCTCGTAGTTGTAGTGTACACTATTCAATACTGCAACTGGTCTGTTCACTTGCTTAACTTCAATGGGGTTGTTCGTGTTGAAGCCAGGCATTAATTACACTACTTCTAAATTTTCTTCAATGTAAATGCACTAGAAGAACCTAGGCTCGTGCATTTCACATCCCTTTTCGCTTTTGATATTCTCATAACGATGAACTATTACGATCAATGCTACTTCCACTAAAGACATTTCAACATTTTCTTCTTTTTTCCATTCCCTGTAACTCGACAAGGCCAAATATTTGCTTATTTTGTTGTACCTAACCGCGTCTTTAATATCTTAGCACCGATGTCTTGGAAAAAATGAGGTTCAGGACTACCAGAAAGTTTTATAATGCCATGTAGCACTTCATTCCAAGTTATTAGGTTCTCAGTTTCATTTTGAGTACTGGTGCTGATGTCCGTTCCTCCTAGTGGATCCACTATAACTGCTTACTTTGTGGGCGACATCACCACATCACCACCGACGGGCCTTTGTAATAGGCCGGCATACGATCACCCACGTCACATCAAAATGTTGTCATTATACGAACATAGAAGTCCGCGAGAGCCGATGCGCATTCACAAAGCCCGGAGAACTTCGAAAACATTCCAGCAGTCGAATTTGCTCATCCCGCCATCCCTTGTGCTTCGCCAGTTCAGAGCCCGTTCAGAAGGTAACCGTGAATGGGACCGTTACGGCTATGAAGATGAAACCAAGCAAAGCAACTGGTCTTGACGACTTGACGGCAGACTTGTGGAAATCAGAGTGCTGAATTCCGGAGGTCCGGTGGTTGACGGAGCTAACTAGGTTGTCGCAAAGAAGGTGGCTAACAGCTGGCAGCAGAGCATAAGAGTTCCTATCTCGAAGAAGAAGGGTAGTCCTGGGAACTGGATTTGCTACCGTCCCATTGGCCTGCTTTCACACACATTATTGTAAACAGCAGTATCCGTGATGCCGAGCTGACCGCCAACCAGTGTGGTTTTGTGGCTGCATCGAAAGTGTTATCGAGTGGGTACGCATCCTTTACTCCAAACCAAAGAGCCGAGTGTAAACGGCAGCGGGCATATCGCCGGATCAAGGCATCTCCATAGGGTACGCCAGGATCTGTATTATCCCCACAACTATTTGTTGCGTCATGGATGCCATTACGAAAGTGTTTTAGGGTATCAATGTCAATTAAACATGTTATCATAGACTTTGCAAACCCGCACATTGTACGTAGCACGGTCAGACTGATACTCAGAGGTTATTCTNGTTCAATTCATGTTTGGTTCTGTCTTCCTATCTACGTAAATCTACATATCTATCGAACACCTACTACAAAAAGATCTCCGGAAGCAGGTTCAATACACGACCATTCATGCGACGACGTGATGCTCGCCAGCGATGGGCTAAGAGACTGAGTTTTTGACCACCTATCTAAACGAGGCGGTTCTATCAGGATCATTGGTACTGAGCTCACGTGGACAGCAGCATCCAATTACCTCGCATCGGCAATTGCGTCTGACGGTAGCCTTTTTTTGAGGGATGGTTTCTTCATGCAACGTATCGAGCGATGGCTCTATACGTTGCACGAAGAGGCCTGTATGGGTGGCAATTAAAGCCCTTGCGTCCCAATGGCAAAGAGGCTGCGATGGGACGCGACAAACTACCGCCTCCCATCCGCCAAGCGGCCAGTGTTGTCAATGGACTGTGTGTGTGTAAGGGAGGGAGCACTTTTGAATCATTATATTGTTTTACCTAACTTTTAGGAGAGGAGCTCTGGGGTTGGAGAGATGATTAGGTGCAGGTGGAGCTCGTGCAGAAAGCTGGGATGGGTTAGGAGTTGGGCATAGAGTTGGCTCACCCAACCCGGAGCTCCTTCCCTTCTCAGGTACAGATAAAAAACGTGTAACATAAAAAGGTTATGAAACGTAACAGAGGCCTGGCTGGAAACCACTTCCGCGCTCTAGCGCGATCTCTATGCACTCTGCCATCCGGTGTCAGAGACGCAGAGCACGAAAGAGCGTGTCCCCCTTCCCCGAACTACATTTCACACGTTATTTCTTGTGTTTGAGGACTTTAGTTGGTCAGCTTGACTTTTTAAATTTCGTTAGTATAGCAAGGGTCGGAGCCGTTCCCCTATGCGCTGTTATGCGGTTTGAGCCGGGGGATGCAGTTTTAACCATTAGGAGGGTAGGAGCACCGGTGTGGGTGAGATGATCTCACGTAAGAAAAGCTGGAAACTCGCCCGTCCCGATGATGCTTCCCTCCTGAGGCTTAGTTAAAATTGGATGTCCATGGTGTAATACGTTACGGATCTTCTTTCACTGAGAATGCTCTCTCACTGAAGGATCCGAGCCGGTTAGCGTCGAGGCTACGTAGGGCGACCCCAGGTGATCGATAGGAGAATTAATCGCCGGCCAAAAGTCGCCAGCACTTGTCCAGATACGCAGGTGGATTCAGGGGATGGACTCTGATTCCTGCTGTGCTGGTCGATATACCACCTGTTTCTCGCAAGCGTGTCCACGCATACGTCTGTGGAGTGTCTTTGGGTGCAGCTGGTATCCTGCCCATCGACTCAACTTAAAGCTTCCATTCGAGTGACTGGGAAATATCTGGGATGCGATTCGGAGCCGCCTCCAAAAAGAAAGCCCCTTGCCCACTTCGGGATAGCCTGGCAAGCCCCCGGAGTCAACCCAGCCCCCACATCAGAGCCTAGCAAGCTACACTTTGGGTATTCCCTCGCCAAAGACAGCAATAAAAATCGGACTGATTCCTCTGAAGCTGAGAAGGTCCCCGATACGGCAGCGTTGGGGGCCAATACCGCTTGGCAGAGGCTGCTAAAATCTCAGGGCTAAAACAGGCTGCCTAAACGGAGAAAGACTAAGATGGTGATCTGTACTTTCAACGCTGGAACGCTTGTATCGGAAGCGTGTATAGAAGACCTGAGAATGCAAGCTAGGAAGGTCAAGTACGACATCATCGGACTGACCGAAACGAGAAGGCGAGGACAGGACGCCCGCTGCACGCTGTACTTGATACTGGAGAAGAACTGTTTCTAGGAGCATGCGACACCAGAGGCGTAGGTATCGTAGGTAGGTGTCCTCGTCAATACGCACTTGGCCATGAACATCGATTCGTACGAAAGCCTAACAATCCGAATCGGACGTTTGCGATTAAGAAGATGTGGCTCAACCCCACCACTAACCGTTTTCGTTGCCTATGCACCATCACCAGGCTGTGAAGAGGAGGATTTGGAAGCGTTCTATATGGATCTGGAGAGGCTCTACAGAGAAGACAATACCATCTTCAAGGTCATCATCGGTGATGTTAACGCCAAGGTTGGCCCCAAAAGAACGGCTGAAAGCTCCACATCGGGACTTACGGAATGGAATGGTATGAGCGGGGTGAGAGGCTGTCCGATTTTATCATGTCGCCCACACCATCCATGGTAACTCGCAATTCCAGAAGTCCTCTCATTTGCGATGGACATGGGAGTTATCTGGTTGACAGTTCCATAATGAAATAGACCACATCATGTTTAAACGGAGATTTTGCCTGACTAAAGTCGTTATTGTTCCGAAATTCTATAATTCGGGATCGGACCAACGTCTTCAATAGATTGTGTTTCTCAGTGCGTGGAGAGAGCTGTGAAGTTTAGGAAACGGAGCCCCAAGACCTCCATCATTTGGGGCCTCTTCGCTTCCCTTGCCAGTGAATGGAAACATTCCGTTAACGACAACTCGATAAAGAATACAACCGACTCGTCGAACATCTTTACGGTAGTGCTAGGAAGGCAGAGAGCCTACAAGTAGCCAAGAGACGACTCTCTTCGAAAACTCCCGGGCTGATACGCCAGCGTGGAATCGCGCTACAGGCAATCATCAACAAACGTTTGGACTTGCGAAGCTAAGCAGAGAAGCTATAAAGGAAGATCTGAAAGAGAGACGAGCAGCATTATGGACGAACCGCCGAGGCCGGAAAGAGCACTCGCAAAGCCCGACGGAGCATCGCCAATTACAGGACTAAGATGATTTCCCTTCGTCGTCCTGAAAAAACAGTTACCGCATCTCGAAGGGCAATGGAGAAGGTCATCTACGACCTCTACTCGGATCTCTTCGACAGCTACGTCTACCTGCCTACCGCCCCTCGCTTCTCCCTTTCTACATACGACATGCCATCACGTCGATGAAAATTTGTACGGCACCCGTTCCCGATAGGATCAAACCAGAACATCTGAAGAGTCTTCCACCAGTTATCGTCAAAACTGCCTATGCTATTCACGCGGTACCTGTCGGAATGCCGAAGTGACCACGTCGTGGAAAACTAGTAAGACTGTCTCGCAAGATTGGCGATTCATGGACAAAACTTCAGTCTCGGCAAGACTGGAACCCGTAATTGTCCTTTACAGGGACCGTGCTCTTACCCTTACGCTAGCGAGACCCCGCTTGCCCTCGCCTTCTTAATTACTTATATGTCATAGCTTATCAGCACTCACACGTACAACGTATTGAGCGCATCGGCCAATATCAGCACTGAACTGTTAAGTTGAAAGCTTTACATGATATAACTTGTTTTGACTTGATGTTTTGTCAATATTAACATCAACAATTAACAATGTTAACATTAACAAAACATCAAGTCAAAACAAGTTATCCTACTATATATATATATATATGTATATATATAACGCGTTATGTGTGTCTGTTGGTTTGTCTGTGTGTATGTATGTGTATGTGTATGTGTATGTGTAAGTGTATGTGTGTATGTGTGTGTTTGACCGGAAATTCATAACTGCGGTCCCCATAGACCTAGAGAGTTCAAATTTGGCAGGAGTATAGTCGGCAGGATGGGAACATTCATGGTGGGTAGCAGGACCGGATTCCGCCCACATGGGGCGGGGTTTGTGCGAAATGAATCTTCTTATAATTATTTAGCATTTTCCGCTTGTAGGCGGGATCCGCTTTTCTGGTGTGTTGACGCCACTTCTCCCGATTGAACGCTTATCGGGGTGGATGATAACCGCTTTAAGGTCTTCGTGCAACGTATCGAGTCACCGCTGTTTTGGACGTCCTCTAGGCCGCTTTCCGGACACGTTAAGGTTAAGACCGATCTTACGGACACGTCGTTCTTTGCGCGAAGAACATGACCATACCATCGTAGACGGGCTTCGCGCATTTTATCGACAATGGGCGCTACACCGAGTCGCTCCCTGATGGCGTCACTACTTATACAGTCTAAGCATGTTACTCCAGCTGTCCAGCGCAGCATTTTGGTCTCCATCACACTGGGACGGGCTTCGACTTCTTTGGTTGCAGGCCAGCATTCAGCGCCGTGAATTGCGACCGGTCGGATCGGTTCTGTAGATCTTGGATTTGAGACGCTCAGGCATGTTCTTATCACAGAGTACGCCAGTCATCGAGCGCCATTTCAACCACGCTGCATTCACGCGAGAATTCGTTTCGAAAACCAGGCTGCCGTCAGACGCAATTGCCGATCCAAGATACTCGAATGTTGTTGTCCATGTGAGCTTAGTACCATTGATCTTGACTGAGCCTGGCACGCTCGGATCGATGGTCAAGTACTCAGTCGTTTTGACGTTCAACCTAAGCCCGAACATAGCCAGACGGTCGGACCAGGCTTGCACCTGGCGAGCATCACGTCATCGGCATAAAGAAGAGTCCATGGAGCTTCTGTGGGTCTTTTGTGATGGTATCCATGACGACAACAAATAATAGTGGGAATAATGCAGATCCTTGATGTACTCCAACGGAGATGGAAATATCCTTCGATATGCCCGCCGCCGTTTGCACTACGCTCCTTGGACTAGAGTAAATGATGCGTACCCACTCGAGAGCTCTTCAGGAACGCCATGCTGTGGTAAGGCATACCATATAACGTCACGCGGAACGCGATCGAAAGCATTCCCCACGTCTAGAAGACAAGATGTACTGGTCTTCGTTTCTCGCGATGCTTTTCTAGAAGAAGGCTAGTGGCATGTATGGCACCGATGGTGCTACAACCAGCCACGAAACCACACTGGTTAGTGGTCAGCTCGACGCAGCTCGACGATATCACGGATACGACTGTCTAAAATTCGCTCAAAGATTTTCCTGCTGTGCGAGAGCAAGCGAATTGGACGGTAGCAGGTGCAGTCCCCAGGACTGCCCTTCTTCTTCCAGACAGGAATCGTCGTGCTCTGTTGCC